CACCTCCAGCCATCGTATCCAGAGTCCAAGACAAGCTCAACAAAGACTCATTCCTCTACTCATCCAGATCATCAGCAGTTCTCCATCTTCTCTAGCCTGGAAATCCAGACTCAAATCTAGAAAGATTTTGAGTCTGGCCCTCACCGATACACCCTTCTTACCCAAGGGGCGGCACTAACTGAGGCATTTCAAATGCCGCTGCATGCAATTGGATAGCACGATGGCCAATCAGAGCAAAAAACGGGAACTGCCCATTGGTTCGACATCCCATTGTTCCGACCATATTAAACTCATTGTTCTGAAGTCCGTTCCGAAATCATCATGATGCCCTGTGGTTAAGGTCTGGTTAGGTTTAGGCACAAAAACCACTTGGTTAGGGTCAGGAAAAGATCATGGTGTGGGTTAAAATGAAAAAGAAAGTGACATACATAAGCCGTGAGCCTGCTCCGCCTCAAGCCGGTCGCAGCGCACCATACGCCCGCCGCGAGCCATTCAGCACCGCGGACAGTCAGACTAATGGGATGTCGAACCAATGAACCAACAAGGTGACGTATTCATTGCACTAAGCCACATTTGTTTGCTGAACAGTGGGGCTAACTGATATATTATGCTTTTGCCGTATCCTGTTGGCAAAATGGCAAAAACGTCCTTCCTGGAAGCGAAGGCTTCTAGGGCAGTCTTCTGTTCCTCTCTCAGGGAAAAAGATAAGTGTAGTTGGTGTAGCGTTTCTTCCAAAGCTAAATTGAATGGACGCGGTCCTTCGGCAGCTGCCATCTTGGCTGTTTACTTTTAGACTCTTACGGCGCAGCGCTGTCGTCATCATGTTACGCCCACCCAGAGCCCGCCTCTGTCAGATAGACTGATCTGATTGGTCCGATAGGCGATTCAGCGAGCTCTGCTCTTCAGGGCCAGATCCCCGTGCAGTGCAAATTCGAATTCGCTGGGGGCGGGGCATCTGGATTTCCAGGTTACATCTTCTCTACATCTTCCTCTCCACCTCTACCACCGCCAGCGTCCTTGGGGGTTCCCTATTTGACTATGGGTTCATCACCCTCCTTAAATCATACAATCTCTACAGGGTCTAATCGGAAAAGACTTTGCACATTTTCCATTCTTATGTGCACATGTTAATAAATATTCTTTTTACTATAAAAACAAGTCTCTCCTGATTGACATAACGTAAAGCATGATCAGTAAAGCCAAAAGAAAAGAACTGCTGTACGATAAGATATTGTTGAAGTACAAGAGTATTTATTTTCTCTTCGTTGTATGTTGAGTTTTCCTGGAAAGGGAACAGTTTCGAAGTCTGCATAAAGCAAAAGAAAATATGCGTAATGAGTTTGTCGCACAACAACAAGAACAACAAAAAGTGTTGTCAAGCACCCCGCCAAATTTGAATGATTTAAAAAGTCCGCAAATATACAAAACAATATTTCAAAATCATTAGAAAATAGGCAGTGTTCTCTGCTCGGAGACGCTGGTAGCATGTCTGCTTAATGTGCTGAAGCCACGCCCCCTGTGGGCAAACTGCAGCCTCTTTTAATTGTAGCACTACAACGGAGGCTTCATCTAGCAGGTTTAATGGACTTGTACAGCTATACAAGTTTGAGCCATCAGAGTCAGAATCAAATTCAGAGCCGGAAGACACTGACCTGCCTGAAAATTAACCTAATTCTTTTCAGTCTGCAACAGAGTGGTAATTTTTTACTTATTTTTTCCGACAACAACAAAACTCAATGGCTCCAGTTCTTATGTAGTGTAGCGGCGGGGCTTATGCTAAGGGTTGCTCCACTGCGTCATCGAGCAGGCTCTTAGCCCCGCCCAAAATATCCTGGACACAGAAATGGAGAAAAGCAGTTCAACAGTCTAACTCCACAAGTCAGTGCTGTATAGTTCCCCGTCTCTTCGTGTTTTCAACAAGTGTTTATTAACATGTTTCATGTGTTTAGATCTCAGATTTTACTTCACCCCGACTTTACGAGTTGCTTCAAAATTTAAAAGTTAAGTCATTTGCCCTCTCATCTTGCACAAATGATAACTACAAGATGTAAAATGACACTTTTTGAACAGTGATTTATCTAATTAAAGGAATATGTCGCCCACTGAAACTTGGATTTTACTGCACATGTTGTGTAAGAGTTTGTAAATTGAAGTTTTGATACAGTTTTGCTGTTGTTAAACCTTGCCCCCAGTCAATAAATCAATATGTCCGCCATTTTCCGTGAAGGCATTTAAGAAAAACAGTTTTCCTCATGAATTCAAGGTAGCACAACTCGACCAACTGATAGACAAATTGTCATTTTGTGGGTGAAGTGTTCCTTTAACACACTGTTTTGATTTACAAAAAGCACCACACACACCTGTCCATCCATCAAATTCTCCAGACTACTGAACACTTGATTTCTCTGTTTATCTCCAATGAGTGAGATAGAAGATAAATATAAAAGTTTCCAGCTACAGTGAGCTCTTCACACCATCATCGCACAGAATATATCAGTGGTAGCTTGAAAGACCTGTTGGTCAATACCAGTGACTCGGCTGCTGCAGGTGTTTCGATTTCTGGCTCTGTGGATGTGCTTTTCAATTTTCTGCTTTCTGTTGTTGGATTTATTTCATTTCTGTCTGATGCCAGAGCTGTGCCGCAGGTCTGTTGATGCTGCTGCGACTCCTTGGTCACTCATGAGGTTTCATAAATGACTGAATGTTCTCTCAGATGCAGCCCTGCTCAGTTCATCTGCTGCTGTAATTTACATTTAAAGGGAAAACAGATGTATATAATAAAACTGACAAACTAATTTAAATTCTATGTATTGAGTTTCACTCTGCGTCTCAAAGCTGGTCAGTCATCTTTAATATAATATATTACTTTCCAGGGAAAAACAGGCTATAGGCAAGCTGAGGGAAGAACAGCCAATTTCTTGAATATGATTTTGCCCCCTGCCTGTTTTGAACAAGTGAGATGTTTGACGACTTATAGACTTCTGGGAACTGGAAATGTGGAAAGCCCCGGTGAATAATGAATGAAGCACCTTGACTGATGAGCAGTAAAAAGTTATGGCCCCACCCGTCTCCTCCATCAAGTCCTTGGATCAATAAACAAAACATTAAATACTACTTTTATGCACCGTATAAATAGTTTGCGCTGGAAACAATAAATAAAGTTGAAACATGGATACACCATAAATCATAACAGGGAATGTGGATATTTCTCATCCTTATGTTTAAATGACTCCAAGGCCACGGTGTCATGTAAAAAAAGTTTTATTACATATTTCACAGCATGAAAAAATCATCTTAATTAATCAGATATTTATATATTAAACATTTTAGAACAGAAAAAAAGTGCCCCGTCATCACACAACCTCACCAAACCATCACTTGGGCTGATCACTACAGCAGCCGCTCCAAAAGACCGCTCACTCCCATACAACAGCCTGAGGAATGCAGTACTATTGCATTGCAGCTAATTCATCCTGAGTCAACAACTTCGATATCGTGCATTAGCTAATGAGCTTTAGCTGCTGACTACAGCTGCACAATCGTAACAGATCTTACGTCGGACACTGACTCAGCCGGCCTGCAGAGAAATAAATTAACTGACAGTGTTTCTGGAGGTCCTGGATTTAATGACCCTGTCAACATAATGACATCATACACAAATAAAAAAAGGCATTGGTCAAAGCTAGGCACCTATTCCAGGGGGAAAGATGTAAGAGGCCTAATTAAGACAGAAAATTCAATTTGAAATTAAAAAATCAGTGATTAAAAAAATCTGGATTACAAACAGGCGTTAGAGTTAGAAATCTGAACCCTATAAAAAGAAAAATAATAAAAGACCGCGACAGATTAAGAACCCAAAACTGTGTAAAAAAAAACTAACTGCACAGTAATACTATGTGAATTGGCAGTAACCAGACGCGCCGGTTAGTTCAACATCTTTAAAGTACAAAACATACAAAACAATGGAAAAGTTCCTCCAGCAGACACTTGGATGACAGACGTGGTGTTAATGCACTTGGATGGATTTCACCAAACTGTTTGCAAATTTAAAGTAGTTCCAGACGTTGGTTACCAGATTGGCTTTGGTGGTTAAAGGAATACGCCACTCCCCAGGTGACCATTTGTATATCAGTAGCTCACCCTGTTATGTTGAACTTGTCAAGAAAACTCTCATATTCCTCCATGATGAACGAAGAATCCAAAAACAGAAAAGGTTCTTGATGAACTGAAGTTATAGACGACAGTGTTTAGCAACGGCAAAACTGTCAGAATATCCCTTTACAGACTCTCACACAACTTGTGCAGTATAATCCAAGTCTTGTTTATCAAGTCATATGCTTGGTACGTCCCAGAAAGACAGCTCTCTCCAACAGGGAACTGGACGAACAGTGAAACTTATATATGTTCTTTTCAAAGCCAGACTCCATTGACAAAAACGTAATTTTACCTCTCTGAACACAGGAGCTGCCCCGATCAGTTAGTTTGTGTTATTGTGTGACTTTAGGTGTTTGAAAGGATTAAATCAAATTCACCAAAATTCATTGCCAGACTATCGCAGGGCCGATACACAGAGACAGACAACCATTCACACATACGGCCATTTTACAATCACCAATTAACCTGCATGTCTTTGGACTGTGGGAGGAAGCTGGAGTACCTCGAGAAAACCCACGCTGACACGGGGAGAACATGCAAACTCCGCACAGAAGGGCTCCCCAATCCCAGGGTTCAAGCTAGGAACCCTCTTGCTGTGAGGCGACAAAGCTAACCACTGCACCTCCTGTGTTCAGCAAGGTAAAATTATTGTTTTTGTCAATAGAGTCTGGCTTTGAAGACAGCTAAGTTTCACTTTCAGTTCAGTTCCATCTTAGAAAGTACCGTCTGTTTGGGAAATACTAAGTATACGACTGGATAAATAAGATTTTGATTAGATCGATATAGTTTTGCTTTTGTAAATACGGTCAGCTATGACTTCAATTCATTAAGAATTTTCTCCGTTTTTTGGATTCTTCGTTCACCTGAGGCATCTTCACGAATTCAACACAACACAGGGTGACTAATTGATATACAAATGGTCATGTGAGGGGGTGAAGTGTTCCTTTAAGTGTTCCTTCTGTAGCTGAAGAGTCACAGGTTCAGCTCCTGCAGTAAGACACTTACATTCACCTGCTCTTTTATTTCCCTTTTTCCCCCGTAACATTAAACTTACACGTACAAGTATGTAATCCTCTGTTACGACATGAGGGGAAAAAAGACCTATTTCGTTTAAATGCTGTTGCTAGCCAGCTGCGACAGGCATACAGCAAGTGTAAACTGTTTACTGTATGTGTTTAGTGAAGCTTTTTGACTGCTGGAAATACGAACCATTCACAAGACTGTCTGGTTTTGGAGAGCTCGGATTCATCCATACTGTTAGAAAACAGGAGAGACATTCAGAAACTGTTGTTCCTTCTTTTACCACATAAAACTCGAAACCCCAAAAGCCTTCAACTTCTGGAGCTGAGTGAGGTGCAAGATTATCTTATTATCTCTGTAAAAAAACACCTTCGACATGACTCATGCTCAGTCCCAGATTTGATGTAAAAGTCCCCCCCCTCTGGGCCAGCAATGCGCAACATAGCCCTCACGAGGGTAACAGGAAGTGGCAGCCTCACATGACATGTTTGTGGGGATCCTCATGCTATAGACACAGATGGCGATGTTTTTTTTTGTGTGTGCGAAACTTCCATATAAAAACTTTACAGTGACACTGCAATGTCCGTTTTCTCTGTGGCACAGTGAGCTCTGGTGGCCTTCTGTGGTAAAACAGCAGGAGTGCCATCGCTACCTGGATGCATCGGGGATAAGTCTCTTAAACCAGCGGCTCACTGCTAGGTCTACTCTCAGCACTAATGTGACCCCGATCAACAGAGACACGCTGCTCATCAGGAACCCTGAGGCCTCGAACATTAACCTGGGGGGAGAGAACAGAGGAGTCAGAGATACAAGAGTCTGAAGCCCAACTTTGCAACATGTTTTACAAAAAAAACAAAAACTTAAGAAATGTGGATTTTTCCATGGTTTATAACTCAGTGTTTCAGATTTTGCACATGTAAATATGTATATTTTACAGTGGTCATCTGCAGAAAAGCAAACCCTCACTCATGTGTATTCACTGCACAGCCCAGATAAAGTGGTTGGCATTTACCGTGTCCATATTCTCAAAAGCCTTTACTGTTAGTGAGTTTGTGTGAGCTGGAAAATCCATTCAGGCACTTACTTGGGTGCAAAAACCTTCCACACCATTAGGTGTCTCCTGAGGATAGCAGCTGCACAGACTGAAGCAAAGACCTGCGAAGAGATGCACAAATACTGACTGTGGCGACGTGAATCTGAGACACATGGAGCGAAGGGGACTGAACAACAACAACAAAAAATTCAATTAACAGCAGACTAACAGGAAACTGAATCCCCAAACTGAACTAAATGTTTCAGATTAGCGACCAAACAAACAGATCAAACGAGAGCATTTCACGGTCTGTGGGCGTACCTGTGCTCCAAGAATAAAGAGGTAGCGTGTTGAGAGTTGAAGGAGGGCGGCGCTGAACTGCTGGGGGTTCTCTCTCAGTCTCATCTCCATCACTGCGTCCTCTCCCTCATCCCCGCAGGCTCTTCCTCCCCTGCTGCCACGTGCCTCGCGCACCAGGGGCCAGAACAGCAGCAGAGGACAACCCACTAGAGACAATGAGACATGACAAACTCTAACTCTTAGTTTCTAATGTATTTTGTCTTTTGTTCCACTTCCTGTTCCACTTGCAGCTGCAACAGTTTAATTTCCCTAAAGGATCCTGTTTTTAATCACATTTTTTAATCATACTGAACTCAGTAAACTCACAAATCCATTTATTGTCGCTTCTGTGTGAATAACTACCTGCAAACAAGATGTGTGAGGCAAAAGTGTTGAGGGTAACCAGTGAGGCGGGCAGTATGGTGCCTGTGTGTCCACCAGGGAATCCCACAAAGGCGGCGCCCCATTGGATGGACGGGAATGTGGGAAGGTGACCTGTGGCGTGAAAGAACTGGGTGGCAGCCAGGGACCAGAGCACTACTGGAGTCCAGGGCACATTAAAGCCACCTGAAAGGAACATGAGAGGTGGGTGAGTGGAGTAAAAGGAAAGTAGACCGTGTCATGAGGGACAAACAAACCACAAATTCTGAGAATCTCACCAGAGTATGTTCCTTGCAGGCCTTTGAGGGAAGTGGAGGAAGCGTGAATGTGCAACAGAGCTCCCATTTCGAGCAGCAGCAGGAGGAAAGACACAGCCATGCCCTCCGGGTGCAGCAGCAGCAGACCGATTCCCAGCAGGCCGCAGAACAGCAGCAAAGGGGCAGAGTAGACAGTTCCCAGTCCATAGGCCTCCACAGCGGGCCTGCTGTCCACCTCGCTGCCTCCGCTCAGCTCTCCGTCGTCCAGGGACCGGCGCATGCGTTGGTAGATCTGGGGGATGAGGTGGTGCAGCTCGGCTTGGGGGCTGATGCCAGTGCTCGCTCGGTAGCGGGGCGGGGGTAGGGATGGACCTCTGGTTGAAGCTGCAGCCCTGGTCTTCACAAACACAGTGAGGGGGTCGAGCCAGATCAGGAACAGCCCCACTCCCAGGAGACAGAAGGCGGCCCTGGGGAGAGCCAGCTGGGCCAGGCTAATCAGCTCGGCCAGATTCCTGAAGCTGTCCTCTGGAGTGGCACTAACAGCCCAGTGCAGCGCCAGGCACACAGACAGCAGCGGCAGGATCCAGCGGGCCGTGAACACCGTCCCGCCGGAGGAGTTGAGGTTACCATAATGGCGGAGGCAGCGCCTCAGCAGATACGTCCACAAGCCCAGGGAGAAGACGGAGAGGACGTAGTGGAGGTTTTTCAGCTGGCTGTCCTGCAAGCGGGACAGAGGAGAGAGAAACGGAGACGGCTGGCAGGAGCCCTGTTCCTCCCGACACGCGTGGAAGGAAAGGGAGAGGTAGAGGCTGCCAACGAGGAGTCCTAAGCAGGCCAGGAGGGTGCTGCTTTCTTTCCTCACAGTCGACGGGGACACGGCTGGGGAGGGCAGGATCCCTGCAGCCTTCAGAGGGTCATGGCTGGGGGGCAGGAGCAGGCCCTCCCAGTTGAGATGGATGGGAATGTAAAGAGCCAGAGAGAACACCAGAAAGGTCACCGCCCGGCCTTCAGCGATCACGTAGCTGTCTGAGAGCAGGGAGGCGCAGCGGAGCAGCGGCACCAACAGAGGGGGGATGAGGATGCGGCGTGGGGTCAGCCAGCTTGCGCACTTTGGTGCTTTCGATCCGTTCTTTTCCACAGTGATGGCTCTGGATCCTCGAGCTCTCCAGAGAAAGAGCAGTTCAGAGCTGAGGGCGCCAGCTGCAAGACACCACGCTACCTCCACGTAGCCCTGTGTGAGCAGCTGACCAGCAGCCACACAAACCCCCGCGATTAGCGCCACGACAACCGGGGCCTTCAGTCCGGGTCCGTTCTCCCTGATCAGCATAAGTGACAGCTCGGACAGGATGAAACATGTCAGGCAAGCAAACGCCAGAATGGCTAAACCTGCTGCCATCTTCAGTGGGTTGAACCGAGCCCAGGTGGCCCGGCAGGTGTCTCTGACAGAGGTGAGGTAGGCCTGCAGCGAGGCGGCCAGCTGTGGGGAGGGTGACCGCCCCTCTCTGACCGTGGTGAGGTACTCAGAGGAGAGGCGGGAGAACTCATGCTTCAGCTGTGCGAGGCTCTCTGGTGGGATGTCTTTGGCCATGCCAGAGTACGTCTCCAGGAAACGGTTGACCTTCAGAAGCAGAACAGCCACAGGGGGTGAAAATTAAACACACAGAGAAAGAAAACACAATTACTGAACATGCTCTGTAATATGTAAAGTTCTCATGTGTGGAGACATTTGAAACCTGTGACAGCTCCTAACTGAGCAGACTACCTGTTTTGCATTAATCCACAGCGCCTCCAGCTGGCTGAGACGTCCAACTGCACCTTCAGTCTGACCGTGAGGAGGGAATACAGGCAGGAGGACCTGCCCCACGCTGCTGTATGGGATGGGGACTCCCAGCAGCAGAGCCAGGGTGGGCACCAGGTCAGTCTGGGGCACCACGTCCGGTTCACTCTAGAAAATAACAGTGTGCTGTGTTAGATTACTTCTCCATTTATCTTTGTTTTTAAAGATTTGCTTGTCATTATTTTTTATTTAAGGGTTGCCGTTTGATGTATTCTACATCCTACATCTGGAGACGTGCACTATTTTCCTTGGACCAAACTACTCCTAATCCTGCGTCCTTGTAAACGTCACAGGACGACAGGGTTTTGTCTGTTTTTTCAAGTGTCCCAGGTCAACAGATCAAATAAGGTGGCAAAGAGCAAAGCGAACCTGAGGCGCTCTGTGCTCACAGTGCACAAGTTAAGTGAACCGTACCACAGACTTGAAGCGAACCAAACTCAGACCACTGCTTCAGAGGGGTCTGAGTTCTCTTGGAGTGTTCGCATATGCGCCAAAAAATGCTGAGTCACCGCTCTGAGTCCACTTAGAGGGCTGAAAAGGACCAAGTGTGAAAACACTCCTAACTGTACGTTCACACCAACAGCGACCAGAGCTTCCAAAGCAGCGGAAGTCATTCATTTTCAGTGAGAGCCCGGCGACTTGGGCAACCTGGTCGTCAGCCACGCGTCTTGGGTGACCAAAGCGACCGGAGTAGCTCTGGAGGGGAGTTAAAACATGGTAATGAGCTCTGACACGGTTCAGCGGCGACCAGTCGGAATGCTGACGTGTTTCGATGAAGCAAGTCCCAGAGAACAAGCCATGTAACTTTGGTTCCTACAGCACACTTGTTCCGACAATGGATATCGAGAAATTTATTAGTTGCGTTGGCGCCCACTCAGTCCTTTATAATGTGTCGCTGTTCGGTTACAGAGACCAAAATAAAAAGAATGAGGCTTGGGACCACGTCGCAGAGGTAGTTGGTTGGTCTGGTGAGTTTTAAAGAGTGTAATGTTAGTAACAGAGTAGAGAATTGCAGGCTAATGTTACGACGTAGCATGCAAGTCTTCCTTGCTTGGTTTGAATGGGATGACACATCTTTTCTGTTTTCATTGACCAAACTTTATGTAGGCCAACTATGAGCTTTTTGACTGGACAACAGCAAGCAGCAACGACGCTGCTTTCAAGCCCATAGTCCACTTCGCGATCAAACTTTCAATGATTCACGTGATGAGCGACTAGAGCGACCAAAGCTGCCACAAATATTTTTGACAGTCAGGCTTCTTGGGCGTCCGCGAGAGACTTTGCCTCTTTGGTAGCTTCGGGTGTGAACGTACAGTAAGAGGACTGAGTTTGGTTTGTTTACAAAGGACTATATGTGAAAACACCCCGAGTGACCGCTCTGAAAATATACACTGACTTCCTGTCTCTTTTTCTGCTTGGGCTCCTACTCTACATTCTACACAGGAGCTGACTCAAGAGAATCTTGGGAAATGAAGGCAAATTCAATATGCCATTACCTCGCTATTACCACTTGTTGCCACAGTGGCTGCTGTTCAGCTAAAGTTACTTAGTATTGCATCGATCACTGTATCGATCTGGCACGGCTGCTTGTTACCGAGCCCAAGTTAAAAGGACAATAAATAAACCGAAGACGGGAAAAAAAGAGATTATTATTCCTCTGTGATTTGTAATGACTTCAGTGAGATTGGTGGATTTGTTCACTTGTGAGTGAGTCACTGTCTAAGAGGACATAACGTCCACTAATCTCTCCTTTCCTTGTAGCAGTGGGATTTTCTGCGCACTCGGGCAACGCCATGATTTCCCACTATCCATTATACAACACTCCAGTTACGCTGCAATTATGGAAATCACCGCTGAAGTTCACTTCACTGGTGCAAAATCCACTTTTTTCCCTGAAAAGGCTGCGACCACCTGCCAGCATCGATTTAGTGGATTCGGGGAAAGTGCACAGCCAAGCGTAAACACAGATGATCATACATACTCAAAATACAGCAAACACTCTGCTGGTTCGGTGAGATAATCAGGATGTAAATGGATATTTGCTAATGAAATAAACAGACGTAAAAACACAGATGGATAGAAGCGAATATTTACTGGATCATTTCCCTCTGCTTCCTTGTTAGCTCATCTGAGGACTGAATCTGTTCTGACAGCACTTTGTTTCTTCTAAAGGTCCAGGAGTCTAAAGTTTGTCTCTGACAGTTATTAATAGAATATAACAGATCTTTTTTATACACTTTCAGCAGATTGAAGCAGTGCTCATCTCTCACTCTGCATTTCATTTACATCTAGTTAACTGATTATTAAAATGTGGCATTTAGGAGACAGACAATCTGATGTTACCAGGAGCCAAAATGGTCCCTGTTTTCACTTAGTTTTTATTATTATTCCATTATTACTTTTATCATTATCATTCTTAGTCATTCATAGAAGGTTTTGTGAGGCTGTGTGGTTACTGAGGGTCTGGAGTCTTAATTAAAACTTTGCAGACCTGGTTATTAATCCTCTATTTCCACACCGTTTATTCACTTAATATAATAAGCCTGATTAAATTACAGCTCTGCTCTACTATTCTTTTTATACCTACAACTGTAATTTAATTTTGGAGTAGGAATTATTAGTGTGCTCGAGGACTGTCTTTATCATATGATACTCAAGAAAAGTGCTCACGTATTAATAAAAATTGGGTGACACCCCCTGCTTGACTCCTGTCCACCCTTTTGCACCCTGATGAAGACGTTAGGGTCAAAACCGGTCTGTGTTTTAATGTAAGCAGCCATGTTTTGGAATACAAGCTTTTTAAATCAATGCATCCGTTCCTGCTCCATGCAAGAGTGCCTTAAGTTCATTTTTTCTTGCCATGTAATTTATTTTTATTACCATGGTATGCCAAAGCACATTTATTTTTCTATTTCTTTTCTGATGTATGCAACATTTACAGATCTCATGGAAAAGTTGCAAATTAGACTAATGCTGTGAAGAAATAGACTAAAAAGATCTTTTAAATTTGTCCTCTACCCCTTTGTCTTCTTCTATAAACGTTCCCTAAAATGCACAAAAGCCTTTCTCGAAGGGTCATTTTTATGTTTTTCAACCTGTATGCTATTTGATAATGTTTTTGTGACTAATGGGAGCAACAATTTTTGAAACTGGTCCAGTACTGAGTGAGACCGCTGCAGCGTAACCCTCAATATACGTCCGCTAAAAGTGCTTGTTTTGACACTGACAGGCTCAGATTATAATTCCAAGTGTATGATAACATTATGGAAATTATCCCTATAGAAATAGACCTTTTTGTGTAAAGGGATAGTGCACCCAAAAATGAAAATTCAGCCATTATCTACTCACCCATATGCCGAGGGAGGCTCAGTTGAAGTTTTAGAGTCCTCACATCACTTGCGGAGATCCAAGGGGAGAGGAGGTAGCAACACAACTCCACCTAATGGAGGCTGACGGCACCCCAGATTCAAACGTCCAAAAACACATAATTGAAACCACAAAATATCTCCATACTGCTCGTCCGTAGTGATCCAAGTGTCCTGAAGCCCCGACATAAAAAGTTGTTTGGAAAAACGTCATTTGAACTCTGTTTTTAGCCTCACTGTAGCCTGTAGCTCTAACTGCCTCTCTGGGCACCGCACTCACGTGTGTGTTTTTCCAAACAACTTTTTATGTCGGGGCTTCAGGACACTTGGATCACTACGGACGAGCAGTATGGAGATATTTTGTGGTTTCAATTATGTGTTTTTGGACGTTTGAATCTGGGGTGCCGTCAGCCTCCATTAGGTGGAGTTGTGTTGCTACCTCCTCTCCCCTTGGATCTCCGCAAGTGATGTGAGGACTCTAAAACTTCAACTGAGCCTCCCTCGGCATATGGGTGAGTAGATAATGGCTGAATTTTCATTTTTGGGTGCACTATCCCTTAAGAGGAAAATCTTTGTTTTTTTAGCTAGAAACAGCCCAAAAACTTGCCATTACCAAACCCACTAGACTCCATTCAAATTACAGTAATTTTATCATCATGAAACACGCACCATTCAAAGTCGACAGGGTTTGGCGATGTCGATTTCGGGGCTGTTTCTGGTTACACAAAAGGTCTATCTCCATAGGAATCCTTTCCATAACTTGTCAGACACTTAGAGAACAATCCGAGCCTATCAGCGGCAAAACAAGCACTTTTAATGAACATTAATCGATGGTGCAAACATGCTGTTGCGTCCTGTTTCGTCACTGCCAGTTGCAGCAGTGTTGCGCAATACGATCAGTCACTTTGACACAAGAACATGAGGATCCAAGTTAAAAAATGCTGAACGTACCCTTTAAGACTGATTAGTTGGCTAGGAATTCAACCTGCTGAGTTTTTGACTCCAAAATCTAATTTTCTTGTGCATGTCCTTCCTTCGCATGACTATTAATCATCTCATGTTAAACCAGACTATAAAAAAAGGCGGCTATTCCACCGACCTGGGACGGCGGTCCGGGAAACAGAGGGGAGGGACTGTAGAGGAAGATGGCAGCGTCTGTCTCCTTCTGACTTTCTCCACCGTGATCTCCAGTGTCCGTCATTCCGTGGTCTCCCATCACGACCAAGAGGGTGTCATTCTGCAGCCGGTCAATCACAGACCTGGTAGAAAAGCATGACCAAGACGAGATTTATTGAGGTTCCTGAGATTAAAATCCATGATGTCATTAATCAATTGCAGTCACTGTACGCAGTTTTACTCTTTAAACATCAACAGTGTTACTCAGTCACATGACATATCTACTACAGGTGCACTATGTCAGCACATAATGATTGCAGCTGGACAACACCGTGTTACAAGCGTGCAGCAGCTGCACTGCGCTCTGACCTGATGACTCCATCCATCTGGGTGAGCTTGTCGGCCATGGCCGGGTGGTCGGGCCCAAACCTGTGGCCACAGTGATCCACGCCGAGGAAATGAGCGACCAGGACATCCCAGTCATCCCCCACCACTGTCAAAACCAACAGCAAGTGACAAACGGAGATGTGAGGCGCAGGTACGATACAAGAAGAGCGCGGAAGCACAGAAGTAAATACATACTAGTTGTGTAGAGGTGCTGGAGGATGCCGTTGTCCACGGTGTGCAGGTCCTTGACGTTGAAGGACGGGAAGGGCAGAGAGCGGTGGAACTTCTTGGGGAAAAGATTCTCCCAAGTGTCGTCGCCCATGAAGACAACTCTTTTGCCTGTGAGAGAAAACGTTCATTTATTTATTCCAACATGTTCATCTGAATTATAAAACTGGACTTTTAATGTGTGATTACGCATGATGTGGGCAGAAAATAACATTGATGTCAGGCCATATAATGCTGGATTTTTTTTCACAAGTATCATGTGTGTGAGAAAACTCTACTACTGTTTTTCCAGATTTTTTTGACTGTCCGACTCCAAAGCGTGTAACCCCTGGAAATTATGAAGTTAAAGGTCCAGTGTGTCAGATTTGTTGGCAAAAATGAAATACAATATAATAAGTATGTTTTCTTTAGTGTATAATCAATCACCTGAAAGTAAGAATTGTCTTTTTGTTACCTTAGAATGAGCTGCTTATATCTACGAAGGGAGCAGCTCCTCATCTACAGAGATCACCCTGTTGCATTACCATGTACTACAGTAGCCCAGAATGGACAAATCAAACACTGGCTCCAGGTAAGGCCATTCGCATTTTCGTGTCAGCGACCGTAGTTTGCAGCCCCTCCGCAAGGAGAGCATCAGGATAACACCAATTTTTTCAACATGAAACTGCTTTACTCTGTGTTTAAAAATCAAATCAAATCACATTTATTTATACAGCACATTTAAAAACCGCAGTTGACCAAAGTGCTGTACACATTAAAAGAATGACATGCAAATATAAAACAGAATAAAACCAGTAAGAGCAATTACATACGTAAAAAAGGTTATAAAATACTAAAATATTAAAACCACTACAAAGAATCAAAGGCCATTGAAAACCTGTATGTTTTAAGATTTCTCTTGAAAGTGTCAATGGAGGGGGAGCATTTGATTTAGAGTGGAAAGCTATTCCAGAGCTTTGGAGCAGCTACCGCAAAGGCACGATCTCCCTTACCCACCAGCCTCGATCGTAGGGACAGTTAAAAGATATTGTTTGGAAGATCTAAGAGGTCGGGAGTTGGAGCACTATACTGGGGGTGCCAGCCTATGTATGTTTTTTTTACTTCTATAAAAATTTTTTGTGTTCATTCATTTTGGAGAGAATGACACCTCTGCGAATAAAAAACTCCTGAACGTTTGGATCTTAAGCTATTAGAGAAGAAAGGTGAACACACTTTAGCAGGTGCTTGGGGAGCACCGCGTCTCCAACGAGCCAAACCTCATCAGAGAAACACTCATTTGTAGCGTGAAACTTCTTTATTCTGTGTTTTTGCTGGTTTAATCACCCGATCCGGTTGTTTTGGAGAGGAAGAGACCTCTGCGGATAATTCGTCTCCCGGTAAAAACCTCTTGAATATTGACCACTGAAGATCCTCACCACTAGATGCCACTAAATCCCCCCTAACTCTTACACACTGCTCCTTTACGTTTGTCTTAATCAATCTTATAAAAAGAATTAGATACACTTCATTTAACCCTGAGTGGAAATTAACTTTTTTTCACTCTGTTGTCATATACACACAAGCCCAAAAAGGACCTATACATGCACTGAATGGAGAGGTATCAGAGCAAAGGAGGCTGCCTTGGACAGGTGCCCCGTGCAGTTGGGGGTTCAGTGCTTTGCTCAGGGGCACTGAACCTGACACCTCTCCAGCTACCAGTCCACACTCCATACTTGGTCTGTGCGTGACATGAACCAGCGACCTTCTGGTGTCCAAGCCAAGTCTATGGACAGAGCTACTGCCGCTCCTTTTAGTGTATATCATACTTCTACATTATATCATGAGTATACTGGCACCATTGACAAGATAGATCCTTTAATGATAGTGAAGCAGAGGTGCGTGCTTCCTTTCTTACACATATTTTAAACATGGTCTAAAATCCAGGGTCAAACTTTGAAGCATTGGGGTGTGTTGCCTCTGTGTAACTACTCACCCACTTGCCCAAACTGGTGGATGAGGTTGTCCTCCAAGATGGCACTGGACGCAAAGTTGTTCCCCACATCCACAAAGGTAGGCAGGGACCCAGTGGTGAAGCCCTTGATCCTCTGCATGGTGGTGGTAGGCGGGTCGGCACGGAAAGGGTACAGGCGGCTGTGAGAAGGCCTGGATGACACCGTCTCCTCCAGCACGGGCAGCTTGTTCTCGTAGGGTCGTGGCGCCGTGTTGTTGGGGTCGAACCAGGCGAAGTCGATCTTGAGGGCGTCGATGATGAGGAGGACAGCCCTGCGGAAACGCGGCTGGACGCGGCAGAAGTCCACTGGCTCCTCTCCGGGCTGCAGCACGTCTCCGCAGGTGCTGGTCCTGTTCACCTCCAGCCTCACCAGCAGGAACCCACCCACGAACAGGTAGATGCCCACGAAGTACACCGCACACATCCAGAGGAGCAGGGACAGCACCGGGAGCCCCTTCATCCTGCACAGGTGACAGCAGCACACACACTTGTCAGGTAAAAAGTCACAGAAAGAGCTCTCTGTGAGACACACCTGCTACACCAGATGCTAGCAAACTCACAGAAACCTAAAGTTCCGCTTGAACCCAAACGCACCGCACACCGTGCTGAGCCCTGACAGGTGACACTAACATGCTAGGTGACGGTTAACGTTAGAAGTTCACGCAGTTAGCCGCAGCTAGCTCGCCTCGCTCCTGTCACTGACCTTGTAGCAGTCGTGTTTTCGTCCTCTGTGGGCCGGAGGGCGGAGGTGTGTGTGTGTGTGCTAACAACACGGGGGTACAGGTGTCTCAGGTAAACAGAGGACGGCGCCACGCCACCCTCACCTTCATCTGGACTCCGCTACGATATGAGATTAGATGGCTGGTGACGGCTAGGAACTGCAGCGTGCGAGCAACCCGGCGGAAATACGGGACGGACGCTTTTCCTGTGTAACACAGCGTAGATGGGCGAATTGTTTCCCTCAGCATAGACTGGCAGGCACACCTCGCCTTTTGTTCTGTGTTGGGCAGAATAACAATATTACTGTACGATTAAACCTAGGGATTGTTCGTTACTTGTGAGAGGGGTTGTGCAAAAAGGGGAATTAATGTTAAATATTTTTTTTAAGCACTGGGGAGGGACTTTTTTAAATAGCTGTTTGTTATATTTATTCATTTATTTTTATTTTACATGTATTTTATTTTTGATATTTTAGATTTATTTTGTTGTTTTTTTACACATTTAAAATATATATTTTTATATTTGTAATTATTCTGTTCTATTCTATTCTATTTTTTTTTAATTTATTACTACATTTATTAATTTATTTTTGTAAGAAAATCGCCCAAATTACACATTGTTCATTGCAAGAAGCTGTAAAAAAAAAAAAAAAAAAAAAAAGAAGCAGAAATTATTATTGGATATTCTGATGGTCCTTGAACACATTATGTGGGACGAACGCTTCTGTCAGAGAAGAGAAAAAAAAAGACCAAATCTGAGTGTAAAATAGTGATATTTCATCAAGATCACTTTATTCTACATGTCTCATTTAAAATGTTGCCAAAAATAAACTGTTTGCACAAACTAACCAGCATGCACGACAAGAATAAAAAAAAAAAAAAACTCTCAGGATTTTAACTCTAACTTTTAACTTTCAAACATCAAAGGGTACGTTTTTTAAAATTGAGCAATTCATGATTAAGGGAGGGTCATACGTTATCCACAGATTCATCAGGGAAGCTCAAGGAAAAAATCCGTAGCTTCAGGAAGGGTGGAAAAACAAACAAACAAATAAAAAACAAAACAAAGTCATACCCCAGCCACCCCTCCTCTTATCTCTTACAAGTACAGGACAGTCCCTTTGTTGCCTTTTCTTTTCTTTTCTTTTCTTTTTTTTAAGAAAAGCCTTTTCTCTTGATTTTTAAGATAATGGTAACTCTGTTTTTAGTTTTTTTTTGTTTGTTAATGTTGCAAAATAATTTCCACTACTCTTGATAAATTCTTTGTGTTCTATTCTCTGACTTATTTTGTATAATTTCTTGTGTGACATTAAAATAAATAAATGAAAATAAAACCAAGCATTTCCCTGAAATTGACCAAGACAAATTTCAACCAGGTCTGCAAAAAAAAAAAAAAATCAACTTATCGAGTTCTAGTTCTACTTATTTTAATTAATTAGGAAAGAATAATAACATTTATTTATGATGCAATAAAATACAACGCTAACAAAACTACATGCCTCAAGCTGTTCCACTTTGTGCATACCGCCTGTCAGGCAAAATAGAGGGCTGAAACATTCACAACACTTTTATTGCCTCCACTCTGTAGTCCGGGTGTTTCAGCCCTCAAAGTTGCCTCACAGGCGGCATGCACACCATAGCATGAATAGCTTTAAGTTTGTAGTACTTATTTGTATTAATTTATTGAAAGGATGCAACGATTGCAGTATGTCAAGCAACCAAAAACTTCAGTATTCTATGGATTGTAACCTTGTAGGAGGAAAAAATGAAGACCAGATATCGCCTGTTAAATGAATTGAATGTAAACTCTGTCCCAGCTCCATTATGGTATAATATGCCTTTTTTCTTCTTTCTTCATATGTGCTGCCAAAAAATCCTGGAACTTCAGAAATCTGTCAAATGATGGTGTGAAATCAAAAGCTGCTGGATTCTGTCACTTTGTTCCTCCCCGTCATGGATCACAGAATGAACCCTGGCACATTTGTACCATACGTCCATAATTCATTATCATAGTGGCACATTTTAAAATCTACTCATTGACACACAGACCTTGTTAACCAATGCATTTTTTATTATATTTCATTTTATGGTTTTTAACATCGCTGAACCTAAAAGTGACCCAAAAACATGAATGTCAGTTTTCACATTTATTTGTTTCTTCAACAGTTTGTTTTCCGAGAATCACATTTGAAGAAGTCCAGTTGTCTCTAATGAATTGTTCTACACATATCCTCCTCTAACAAACTGTATTTTCAACAAGTGCTTCACAATGTCCCATCCCACCACGTCATAACTTCAAAGTCTCGCCAAAATGGCACCTGCGCCAATTTCACGTTTGCATTATTCATCCTAAACCTGTGAGCAGCAGTGAAGCTGAGGAAATGACAACTTGCTGTGTTTGTGGAGAGCCATGAAACTGAATAAATATACTCCATAAGACATAAAGAAGAATATTGGTTCTTAGGGCCGACTTTGTGTACTAACTAGTTATCAAAAAGGATTTGTTTCTGAATAATAGCAGGGAAATAACTTTACTGAATACTTGTTTAGCTTTTTTCTCGGGGAGATAATGTTTTAATCTAACAAGGGCTAAATTGTGAATTAACTACACTTTGGGGAACTTTCCCTCAGTCAGAGGCATCAAACCAGACATCACATGTAGAAACTTAAATCTGCTGGTCCCAATGATGCTGACAAACAAGCCGTATCGAAGCAGATGGATCAAAACTGAAAACAAGCCCTGGAGAACAGGTTGCAAAAGGAGGAAACATTTAACCCAACTGTATCTATCACTTAAATTTGGAAATACAGCAAACTGAAAACTATCACGTCCAATTCTAGTAGTATTTATGCAACAATATTAACCACACCCAACAGATCTGATGCATGAAATAAACCAACAAATAATGACTTTATGCAAATAAATTGGATACTGCACAACACCCAGGCCTTACATCGTCATCCACTGGCCACTGTGGCTTATATACCCAAAACCCTGTCATCAATATCTCCATTTTATCAGCCCGCCAAAGAAAGCTGGTGTTATCTCCCAATCTGATAACTGAACGTAAAGAATAGTCAGTGATGATTAAAAATCTTCTTACAAAAGATGTCATTTTCCCAAGACTCCAAGACATCCAAAACGTTTGTAAAGTTGGTGTTTTCTCCTTCTGTCCTGGCTGTAGAAGGTGCGTGAACGTCACACGGTGACGCCTTGGAGCCCCGATAACTTAAACACAAGCTGCTCTCCCCTGGTTCGCTGTCGTTATTACTGCTTATGAGTTCATTCTGCGAGTCCTCTGCTACTGAGATGACTGGTTCTCATGGGCTTCGCTCTTCTCCTCCACCGCTTCTGGCGCTTTTTTTTGACTCGTCTTTGCCAACGTGCCGTAGATGGTCATAGCCTGAGTGTGGGAGGACAGTGTGAGAACCGTTATAGTCGTGATTGAAGACAAAAAAAATGCTTTCTCACCCTGCTGTACATACCTGTGTGACCATGCCGCTGATGTCGCCGGTGTTTGAGGGCAGGAGGATGGTGTTGGACTCTTTGGCGAGGTTGGAGAAAGCAGACACGTACTGCTCGGCCACGCTTAGCGAGGCTGCTGCGTCTCCATTCTGTTCAATGCACGAGAAAAATAATCCACATCAGCTTCCATAGATAAGACTGTGATCATGGGTGTCATTTAAGAACAGGAAGTACTCTTCACCTGCTGGGTCAGAGCCTCGGACAGCACCCGGATCGCCTTAGCTTTAGCCTCTGCTTTGGCTAACACGGCTTGGGCTTCACCTAGAGGAGGGAACACAGTAATGAGTCAGTGTTTTTAGCCTTAAAACTTCAGCTTAAAAAGATGTTTCTGAAGTGGGGTTGTATGAGGTAATTCCCCATAGTCAGTGTATCACCTACAGCAGATGTCAGTTGGCACGCCCCCAGTTTGGAGAAGCAGGCAGGAGTGCTGACACGGAAGCGAAGCAATGTACTGGGGTGGAGGGGTCAGCCACAAAACCAATACTTTAGCCATCTAAAATAAGTCTAGGGCTGTTCCCGACTCCGAATTATGTCAATTAAATCGAAGTTAGCAATTCAGTACGGACATTTGCCTATTTGTTCCTTTTTTCCACATAGAAACTGAGTTTTAACGGGTTTCCATTTAGGGTGTTTAGGGTGACAGTGACTTTCACGTAATAAAGTAAACCAGCCAAGTTAGCCCTCTGAGCTAATGTGTGCTAACTATGCTAACAACGATTTGGAAATGTGCAGCACCACTGTTTGCGGATACTAGATGTCAAACAAAACCCAGAGACTGTGTCGTATTAAGCTGCCATGAGCTGTAAATTCACCACTTCCAAGCAGAAGGCAGAAGATAACATAATCTCAGAGCTCTAATCTCCTCTTCCGAGCAGGTGTCCGTCTCACTCAGACTCACCCTGGGTCTGGGTCTGCAGCTGCCTGTACCGCAGAGCAGCTTAAACATGAGGAGCACTCACTCTGCAGCTAAATTAATTAAGAGAAAAAAAATATAATTTAAGAGGGTTGAGTGTCTTTGAAATTAGTAATGTGAGAACTAATGTTAAATACAGATGTGTTTCATTTTTGGGAGTTAAATTATGGAATGGGGTTAGTGATGAGTTGAAATTGTGTAGATCTCTGTTGAGTTTCAAAAAACACTGAAAGGTAAAATAATTAAGGATTACAATGTAAAATGATTGAATTGTGAAATGATTAAGAAGAAGAATTTAGAGTAAATTTTGTTGTGTTTTTTTCTTTGTATTACTGATATTCTGGGTTATCTTATGGATTGTACAGGATAGGCAAAAATAAGCCTCGGCTTCAGCCTATTCCTTTTTCGGTTGCAGAGCTTGTTAAATTTTGTTGTGAGAAAATGTGTAGTGCAAATATGTATGTAAATGTTTTGTCAGTTGATTGCACACAATTTAAGTATTGTATATTGTAACCGAAAGGTAACCGAAATAAACTATTCATTCTATTCTATTCTATTCTAAATCTGGGGACCGAAATGTGCCCAGAACAACAACGCAGACTGCTGGCAGGTTTCCGACTGATGATAAAGTCCCATGACGGGGAGCTGAAGCCATTATATAACTCTCCTCAAAGCCAGACTCCATTGCGTCCATGGTGGTACTTCTGTCTGCTTCTCCAAACCGGGTGCATG